TGAGCAGGGGAAACGAAAGACTTACAGGGATAATTGTAACAGTTACAACATTGCAACGATCAGACATATTCACCAAAGTCACAAAGTGTATTATTGTTTTAAAATAATATCAATAGCGAAGGTTAGGCTTTTTAGTCATCAATCAGACAAACTTTACGATGTATCCACCCAGTTCATCAGTTCTCAACCTAACTAGCCTCCGAGGATTAGGGTGGAAGGAAGAGGCGGGGAGGAAGGTTGGGTAGCCACTGGAGGGTTACATTTTCCATGCTAGGAGAAGGGAGTTCGTTCACTCGCGCTTGATTCGAAATCTTGGATAAGTTCGTTACAGAAAGTAAACAAGAACATGAATTGGCAAGAATTTTTTTGGATACTTTCTAAAGCTATGCAAACCCTTAATTGTGTCTAACGTTTGCATAACTTTCTTGAATTCTCCCACTTTCCCTTCGTGTTTAGATGATGATATATAAACAAAGGAAAAGCTCTCTGCTGTTTAAATATAGAATCGACGGAATCCGCGAGATTTGGTCCGAACGTTGCTGGAACAATGAAGGAAAAAAAAACCATGTTAGCCATGTTTTTTTCTTTTTTGCTGCAAATATTCTATCGACAGCCTCGGAACGCATCTGGTTTGCAAATTTTTCGGTGCTTGAACTTGGCAACTCAATTTAAAGAAAATTAACAGCTAAATGTCAACATGCATCAGACAAACAGCGGCAAGTCACCCAAAATTTGCTTCCACTCCTACTTTCATGTTTGGTAGCTAAATATGTCCTAATAATTGTGGTGTAGTTTTTTGGTGAAAATGTATTTTAGTTTTCGAGAAATAATTTTTTTAGCTTGACTGCTCAAATATGCAAATTTTGACCGTGAATATTACCCGAGTTGTGTGACCTCATGTAACGAATTTACTTGACCTCCGGTATTTCTGTTGACATAATCCTTTGTTTTATCATCTAAACTTAACTCCCCGTCATTACTGAAGCTGGCAAAGAAATATTTAGATTTTTGTGAATACTTTTGTCCGACATACTTTTCCTATGTCGAAAGGTAGCATCAAAACAAAGACAGTTTTAACAATGACCGATATGACAGAATCTATTGAGCTTCCAGATTTAAAAGACAAAAGCATGGTTATAAAGTTACTGTAAATATTTCCTTGTGTATTTGTGTTGTTCTATCTTGAGACGAACTCGAAGTCAGCAAAATTTACTTGCTAGCGACTATGAAATGTACACGGCCATACATCTACTCCATCTTATTATATCAGTTACATGACAAGCGTGACAGATATATATACATATATATATAACTAACTGCAGACAGTACTGTTTCGGCCTTCTGGGCCTCATCAGTACAGTGTTTATATATATATTCAAGGTTGAATCAATCTCCGAAATACCGAGAGATGCTTTTCTCCCTCTTTGCATGATATCTTGAAAAATCTTCAAGGAATTATTGCATTCAGAAATCTAAAATGTCCAGATCCATCAATGATTCCTTTGCTGGTGGAAGTCAAAGAATGTTTACAAAAGTTAATTTCATTGACAAGCTACATAATGATTTATCTAGGTGATCTGTTGTATAAGCGTCTGATCTTACATGATAATATGGAGTTTTGCTGTTCATTTAAATCGTTCGCTAGTGGAACTTGTGGGTTTAGTTATCGAGAAGACCGAAGTTGCATATCTCAAGTCG